ATTAGCTGGGTGTGGTGGTGCACATCTGTAGTTCCAGCTACTTGGAAGGCTGAGGTGGAAAGATCGCCTGAGTCCAGCAGGTCGAGGCTGCGATGGCCGTGAGCATGCCATTGCTCTCCAGCCTGGATGACAGAGTGAGAATCCACCACAAAATAAATAAATAAATAAATAAAATAAAAATAGAAAGTATACAGCCCAAATTGTTAAAGGCATTTGTGCTTCTGGCCTTGATGTTTCCTTACTAGTTTACCGCAGCCAGTCTCCTGACCACCACCTGAAATCATGAGATACAGGTGCCTGGTGATGTCAAGACACAAGACTTGTATGACTTTTGTTACCTATTTTTTTTTTTTTTGAGTTGGAGTCTCACTCTGTCGCCCAGACTGGAGTGCAGTGGCATGCTCCCGGCCACCGCAGCCTCGACCTGCTGGGCTCCAGCGATCCTTCCGCCTCAGCCTTCCGAGTAGCCGGAATTACAGGGATGCGCTACCACGCCCGACTGATTTTTTGATTTATTGTAGAGATGAGGTCTCGCCGCCCAGGTGGGTCTCGAACCCGCGGGCTCAGGCAATCCACTCACCTCAGCCTCCCAAAGGCGAGGGATTACAGGCTGAGCCACCAAGCTGTTAGCTATTAAAAACAATAAAATTCTGGACATTCTTCCCAGCCTAAACTCCCCTTCAGGAGTATTAAATATACTCAGTTCCCCAGCCTTTAAGGCCACACCTGCCTCTGAGTGTCCGCCTCCTTTCCGTCTGTAAAAGATAAATAATAAACTTTACTTTTTTCTTTTCTTCCTTTTTTTTTTTTTTGAGTTGGAGTCTCACTGTCACCCAGGCTGAAGTGCACGCTCACAGCCGACGCAGCCAACACCTGTTGGGCTCAGGAGATCTTTCTGCCTCAGCCTCTCAAGTAGCTGGAACTACAGGCACGTGCCACCATGCCCGGCTAATTTTTATTTTTACTTTTCATTGTAGAGATGAGGTCTCGCCAAATTGCCCAGGCTAGTCTTGAACGCGTGGGCTCAGGCAATCCTCTCACCTCAGCCTCCCAAAGTGCTGGGATTACAGGCGTGAGCCACCGCGTCCGGCCAACTTTACTTTTTCTTTCTTTTTTTTTTTAAATTGAGTTGGAGTGTCACTCTGTCACCCAGACTGGAGTGCAGTGGCCGCTCCCGGCCGCCACCGCAGCCTCTACCTGCTGGGCTCCGGCGATCCTTCCGCCTCAGCCTTCCGAGTAGCCGGAATTACAGGCGCGTGCTACCACGCCCGGCTGATTTTTTGATTTATTGCAGAGATGAGGTCTCGCCTGCCCAGGCGGGTCTCGAACCCGCGGGCTCAGGCAATCCACTCACCTCAGTCTCCCAAAGGCGCGGGATGACAGGCTGAGCCACCGAGCCCGGCTTTACTTTTTCTTTGTACGTGGTTACAATCTTACATTATTCCCGCGGCACCGGCCCACCTTGCCTCAGTTTACCCTTCAGCAGGAGACAAGGAAGGCCACCAGCTTTCTGGTGTGTCCAGCAGTTTTGCTCACTGAGATGGAAAACAATGGAGAAGTGAGCTTGTTTGGGAAGTGTCGGCTTTCAGAGTCCAGGGAAGACGTACGAGACCGGAACTCGGACGATAAAAATCTTAGGTGAGAAACACCGCGTTTTAAAGGGCGCAGGAGCGGAGGAGACGCGGGTCAGCCCGAGGATTTGGAGTCTCTCCACCCACTCTTTCTCCTTGAACCGCCCGCTTCCTCCGCTCCAATGGACAGAAACACGCATGCGCCCTCCCACGTCCACGGCGCCCCGGGGCGGAAGCTTCCTGACTGCGCACGCGCGGGGCGGTCGCCATGGAGACGCGTGGCCGCCGCCTGCTGGGCGGCTGCGGGGCTTGTGCGGCCCCGCGACGAATGGACCGCCGCGCTGGGGTCAGGGCGTCGGGGTACCGCGCAGGGGGCGAGGACGACGATGACGAAGAGGAGGAGCGGGAGGGCGGCGCTGCGAGCTCGCGCGTGTCTAGACTGCCCCCCATCGAGGGCGGCGCCTCAGAGCTGGCCAGACGGAAGGTGAAGAAGAAAAAGAAGAAGACCAAGGGGTCGGGCAAGGCGGACGGTAAGAGGAGCAGCCAGCGCGGCTGCTTAAGCGCGCGGGCCTGAGACTCTTCTCCGAGGACGCCGACTTCCAGCCCTCTCAGCTCCCCTCCCCCCATTTACCTGGAGACCACTTTCGACCAGAAACTGGAGCTCACCAGTCCCGGACTGAGGTCCTCCCACTCCCACTCACGCCACATGATACCCAGTCCTGCCCATGACCATCACCCGTGCCCACGGAGACCCCTCCATGGCCGCAAAAGTTCCACCAACTTTGCAATCCTCCAACCCCACACAGAGACACCCACAGACCCCCACCATTCCCAAGTGCCTCCCAGCCCTACACACAGACTTTACGCAGACCCCCGGCAACTTCCTCAACCCTCACCCAGAACTCGCAGTCCTCAACATCCACGCCTTCCCCACAGGAATCTCAGAAGTCTTCCTGCAGAGGCCCCACACAAAGACTTTGCCCAACTCAGAGTCACTGAGACACCACATGACAAACACACACACTGTTGCCTTCCACCAGAGATCCTACTGGCATCCTGTGCATTAAGGGGCACTTGTCTCTGAATGCAGTGTAGACACTCACACCCACGTAAATGCATATAAAGTGTCCTCTCTGCATGGATTCTATCCCCCATTCACCAAGGGGCAACCTTTGACTTCATAAACACCATCACTCACTGTGACATCTTATAATCCCTGACACCCTCAGAAACACCTCTCTCATATCTTCTTTAAATTTTTACATTTTTAAGGAAATTAGAGATGAGGGTCTTGCTATGGTGCCCAGGCTGGTCTCAAACTCCTGGCCTCAAGCCATCCTCCTGCCTCAGGCTCTCAAAGTGTTGGGATTACAGGCGTGAGCCATTGCCACCGTCCTGGCCCACCCCCCTCATATCCATATAACACCATCAAATGAAACTAAAGCGCAGACACCTCAGACGGATACTCTGTTATACTCTCACATGTAGAGTCCCTCCCCGACACTGTTCCTATATACATACAATCATTTGCACACTGATACTCCAGTCTCTCTCGGACACCTTCACATCCATACACACCAACACCTGCCACAAGCCCAAAGTCACTCCATCTCACCAATCCTTCCAGAATCCCCCAGGTTTTTCAACAAAGGCACTGAGCACTCACTTCAAGGGGATACTGCAGCAGTAACATGGAATGCATGTGCCCACGAGTGCAGTGAGTCCCTTGTTACCTGTGTGGCCCACCTCGGTGGCTTTGACTGTTAGTGAGATGGCCCTGACCTCCTGTGGGGCTAGTCCTGGGCTCAATTTTCTGGGCCCTGGGCCTTTGTGAGAGAGCTGGCAAGCAGGAGGCAGAAGGCGTGGCAGCCGCCCCCTTGTCAACCTTGCAGTGTGGGCAAGGGAGCGCCGGGAGGACCGTAATTATTCCTTCAGGTGGAATCTTAATAAAAAGGCAAGAAAATTCTGAAGTTTAGGTCAAAAAGCCCTATGTGTATGTGCAAAATGAAATCAGGAGGTTTACTGTCTTTTTCGCATAATGTTTGGCTGGAGAAATTATAGTGGCATGTACCTTGTCCTGTCAGCAGGGGACACCAGATAGTTTTCAGGGAGTAGGAAGGTAAGGGACCGTCAAGAGGGGATTTTTTTTCTTTCTTTTCTCTTCTGTTTTCTTGAGGGAAAGGATATTCTTTCTCCTCCAAACTAAGAGGATGAGCTGATGAAAGAACCACAATTTGTGGTATTGTATGTGCTTGTTATATAATTCTGAAATGCTGTTGCTTTCGTCGGTCAGACTTAGGAAGCTTTTCTGTTGTTCTCCGTTTCTTCCATCATGAAGTGTCTAAACTAATGGACTCCCAGAACTGGAAAGTGCTGTGGTGAGCATCTGGCAAGGGCAAGTGGGAGGCAGCAGGGCATAGTGAGAACAGGGCCTTAGGAGCCAGTAATTGGCAAATTACTGAAGCACTCGGAGCCTCCGTTTCCTCACCTGAAGAATAGGGCTGACAGTCTTTATCCAGAAGACCTGATCATAGTGAGTGCTCAATAAGTGGTTCCTCCCGCCCCAAAATGACTTGAGCAAGCACATACAGGCAGTGATGTATGCACTTGCTAGTGGGCTTGGCGGCCCCAAGCCCTGGGTACAGAAGGGTCTCCACCCCCCTTACGACTTTGGTGATTGGGGCGCCAACCCTGGCAGGCTGAGGGCACACATTGCCACAAGCACTGACTACTCCTCTACTCAGCAGATAAACATCAGAGTCAGGACCTGAAGAACCAGCCTCTCTCTTCATCCTGTCATGACGTCTTAAGTCCCAGCCAAGACCATGGCCGGAGACCAGAGCGCAGGCAGAACAGAGAGGAAAGCAAGCACGTCCCTTCTTACTCCTCCGCTGTCAGACTCCCCCACTTTGCCGAAGTAGCAGACAATCTTTTGAACCAGATCAATGAAAGTCTGCGTTGGGACGGAATTCTCGACGACCCAGAGGCAGAAAAAGAAAGGATTCGCATATACAAGCTGAACCGGAGGAAGCGGTACCGGACTTTGGACCTCAAGGGCTTCCACAGTGACCCCTGTGCTGAGAAGACCCCTGGGAACCTGCCCTACCTTTCAGATAGAGACCGCGGCTGCAGCAGCAGGCAGCCCGCATTGAGAGCCGAGCGCCCTCCTTGCCTCTTTGAAGGAAGCCTCTCCCCAGAGCTTCTACACTCTGACTAGCTGCCACTCTGCCGGAGTAAAAGTCCACCCACGACCCCGACAGACTTTGATCCCTCCTTACCACAAGTTTCTGTGCTAAAAAAGAATGATTATAAAAGGAAATCAGACCTGCGTCTGAAGGAAGCAGATGTTGGGTGTGTGGGTGAGGCCAACCTCTTCTGTCACCAAGATGCCCCTAACTGCCCAACCAGGCCCCAGTGCCTTACGAACCTGAGCAATTTAATGAACAAAGTTCTGTCAAGAATTTCCTTTTTCTCAAATAAACTGGCAACTCTCTTTGTTATTTAATTTCTCATCACAGCTGGGTGTGTATGATCAGCTCCTAAAAAGAAAAAAAATGGTGTAGATTATAGAAGTTCGAAGTCTCAAACTCCTCACATAGTACATGCTTTTTGTAGTCCCAGAGAAAATGCCCCAAATATCTTGAAGACTTAAAAAAAAAACTCACCGGGCTCAGTGGCTTACGTCTATAAATAAATAATAAATAAATAAATAAGTAATATTCCTTTAGGATATCACTCATGGCCACTGCAGCCTCAACCTGCTGGGCTCAGGCAATCCTTCCGCCTCAGCCTTCCAATTAGCTGGAACCACAGGCACGCACCACTACGCCTGGCTAATTTTTGTTGATTTATTGCAGAGACAAGGTCTCGCTAAGTTGCCCAGGCTGAGGTTTGATTGCCAACAAACCCATGGACTCAGGCAATCCTCTCACCTCCACCTCCCTAAGTGCTGGGATTACAGGTAGGAGCCACTGTGCCCGGCGCACCACAAATATTGATGGAGTGAGTTTGTGTTCTCCCAGAAACAGACCCTGAGACAAGGATTTGAATGCAAGTGAATGGTTTGGGAGATGAAGGAAAGTTCAGTAGAGGGTGATACAGAGCGGGAAGAGAGCCAGTCTAGTGTCTCCTTATCTCACCTCTGCCTCCTCTGTATTCACTTCAGGTTCTCATCACAGGATGGCAAAGATGGCCACTAACATCCTTACTGTTTTGTGAAGAAAGGAAGGTCTTTAGCCTGGCAGCGGTCATATGCTTATCACCAGACTACTCACGATGGCCTAGAAAGCATAGTATTTGATGGCTACAAAGACCTAGATAGAGGATGGTGGGGAAATGGGGGTGGGGACAGGGTAACCCCCACAGGATGCGTGAACTGAAGAGATTGTTACAGAACCTATGTAGATTATAGAGTGATTCCCTACAGAGATACTAAGTGGACAGAGACTTTCCCCTTGCCCTTCAAAAGAATGAATGATTCATTTTTGAAAGTTTCTGACCAAGGGTCATAGGAGTGACTTGCCCACTGCTAGTTAATCTCAGTTAATTTTTTTTTTTTTTGAGTTGGAGTCTCACTCTGTCGCCCAGACTGGAGTGCAGTGGCCGCTCCCGGCCACTGCAGCCTCGACCTGGTGGGCTCCGGCGATCCTTCTGCCTCAGCCTTCCGAGTAGCCGGAATTATAGGCATGCGCTACCACGCCCGGCTGATTTTTGATTTATTGTAGCGATTATTGATTTATTGGTCTCGCCAAGTTGCCCAGGCGGGTCACGAATCTCAGTTGATCTTATTTGCAAAATGACTGACCCTTGGCCAATATGGAATCTACTGACTAAAGATAAACAGGGCTCTGTCATCATGGATCCATGAGTTGTTCTGGAGCAGAATGTATCAGTCTACCAGCACTGTTTTTAGTAATAACAGTTGGGTTTATGATTTGCACCCAGTTTTGGTGGTGCCTAGTGGGTGGATTTCTACCTTTAAGGTTAGTCACACAGCTAGAATGTGCCACATGACCAGCTCATGATAAGAGACTCCCAGCATGAGTAAACTTTGGGTTTCCAAGGTACACAGATGCTTCATACACACGGGTGTGTAAGGCCGGCGGTACTGGAGGTGGGTGGGCCTCAACAAGATGGCTCCACCCCGGACCAGGAGAATAATGGGCGGAAGTGAGCCAGCAAAAATGAGCTACCGGAACTAAGACCCCAGCCACAAAACCAGCCAGTACCTGCTACAGCGATTCTAGCAACACTGTAAATGCGACAGCTGTCCCAACCAATAATCGCTCTCCCCAATCCCCCTCACAGCTTTCTCAGCGTGCCCTTTATAAACCTGTCGCCCATCTTGCTGGGCGCGACTTCTCCGGCCCACAGCTATATGGACCGGCCCACAGCTATATGAACCCAGGATTGCGCTAATAAATTTTTCTTGGCTCCTTTGTTGCCGTTTCGCCTGGTCTGGTTTCGTTTACCTTACAGGGTGGTGGTCTGAGACCCAGGGACAAAGCACTCCTATGTAAACCTCATGAACTTCCACTACTGACACCACAGGTAGAGAGATCCAGGAATGTGACTGACCTCAGGGGAGTTGACGTGGCAGACGTCCCCCAGTGATCTCTGCCTCCTGGTGTTCATGCCCTTCTCTTGAATGTGGGTTGAACCTGTTGACTTTCTAATAAAATATGGAGAAAGTGATAGGATATCACTTCTGAGAGGAAGTTACAAAATGAGACTGTGTTTAGGAGGAAGGGAAGAAATGAATGGGTAGAGGCCAGGGGATGTTTTAGGGCAGTAAAACTATCCTGTATGCTGCCATCATGGTAGTTTCATGTCATTATATACTGTCCAAACCCATGGATGTACAACACCAGGAGTGTACCCTAATGTAAACTAGGGACTTTAGTTAATAAGACTGCATTAGTATGGACTCACCAAGTGTCACAAAAGTATCACACTAATGCAATATGTTAACAATAGGGGCTGGGCATGGTAGCTCACACCTGTGTTCCCAGCACTTTGGGAGGCTGAAGCAGGAGGATTGCTTGAGGCAGGAATTTAAGACCAGCCTGGACAACATAGTGAGACACTATCTCTACAAAAAAGAAAAAAGGCCGGGCTTAGTGGCTCAGCCTGTAATCCCAGCACTTTGGTAGCACGCACCTATAGATCCGGCTACTTGGAAGACTGAGGCAGAAGAATTGCTGGAGCCCAGCAGGTTGACACTGGGGTGGCCATAAGTGTGCCACTTCACTCCAGCCTGGGCAACAGAGTGAGACTCCAACTCAAAAAATAAATTAGGCCGGGCTCGGTGGCTCAGCCTGTAATCCTGCGCCTTTGGGAGGCTGAGGTGA